AATGGTGGATCTTTGGGGGGGGGGTACCATATATATATATATAGAAACATACATATATATATATATCTATGTATACATACATATATATACACACACACCTGCAAAGTAGGTAGCAAAATGCTGTTTATTGGACTCTTTTAATGGTCCCGGGCCAAAATTTTACCTATTGTTGGGTCACACGGAGCTTGAGTTGTGCAGGTGGAACCAGCAAGAGCCAGGATGCCTTTGTAGAAGCTGAGGCTGCCGGTGGTTTGGACTGCGATGGTGTTCGGGTATACTGGAGTACTTGCATGATGGTTTTTACCTGGAGTTTTTTTCGATTATGCCAGCCCCAAACCCTTGTTGTCTGATTGTTTAGGCTGATGATTGAGGCTTTTGCTGAAAGTGGCCTACCCTCCTGCATAGCAACCTCCTAAGCGCCACAGAACCTTGGGAAACTAGAGTAAACCCGAAGAAGAAGAAGAAACCCTAAACCCTAAACCATAGGGGTTTCCATGTTCTTTTCCATTATCCCTATAACCCTAAAATAACCCCTATATAAACCCTATAATCCCTATAGTTTCCATGACCCCACATAGATTGCAAGGCCTCCTTTGCAGCACTCGGGAGCTGGGCCGCGGATGCAGCATCACCGTCGAAGAAGGCCTGCAGAGGAAAGATTCAGGGTTTAGGGCTTTTAGGGTTGGGCAAAGGATATTGGTGGTGGGCTTGGATGGGTTTGGGGTTTCAGATTGCCTCAGAATTGGCAGTCCCTTCATGGGAACAGATTGAATTTGGGGTTGGCAGGGTTGATGCAGGATTGTATGGGGAGCATATTGGGATTCGGGATTCTTTTGGAATGGGCCATTTGGTGCAAAGAGGGGGTTAGAAGTTTACGCTCGGGACGTCGTCCACGGAGGCTTTACAGTGCTGGAAAGGTCAGGGGCGTCTCATAGGCCCCTGACTCCAGATTGGATATTGGGGCTTCCCACCTTTATTTAGGGGTCCTAACGGCAACTTTTCGTTACCTGTCGAAGGGTCGCGGCCTCGGACATGCAGTGCAGCAAAAGAAATTAGGGGTCCCTATCATAAGGGTATTTTGACATTTTGTTTACACCCCCGCGGTTCACAACAAAGCTGTTGCCAGGAAAGGAAGGGGCGCAAGAAGCGCCCGGCAGCTTCTTCTGCAGCCGAGGACACGGCATGTAGCGAATTTCGAGAAGCAGGGGCCCGCCTTTGGGTGTGCCAAAACTAGCATTCTGGACTCTAGGAAGGACTACCTGGACCCCAAAAGGAGGTAAAATAATCGCCCAAAACACACAAAACTAGCCCAAAAGGCAATTACTTTACATACTGTTGGGGTCCAGGTACAGCATATTGGGGCCTACGTCGGTGGCGCCCTTCTTTTGGAAACTCTCTACCATAAGACTATAGCATGTCAATGGATCCATGATGGTAGACTTCAGAAGAGAAGATGCGCAGCAATCCAACATATCCAGGGAAATCATGGGGCCAAGATAATACGCTCGGAGTAATCCCAATATACTATATAGTAGTTTCCATTTGCTTTTCCATTATCCCTATATTACCCCAATGTATACCCTATATATGATATAACCCCTATGGAGGTTCCAGGAACTTTCCAAGCCACTGGTAATCTCTCCAACACTCAGGGGAATTGCCCCAACCGTAAATGGTAGTTTCCCAAAGTTAGGGGTACCTTTTTGGGGGTTCCTATTAATAAGGATTATAGTCTATCAGGGTCTATACTGGGGTCCGCTTATTTTGGGAAATTACCAAATTAGTCGAAGCCCAGTTAAAACAACCTCAGCCTGAACCTCAACCAAGCGAAACCTCAAAAAACTACAGGGATTATAGGGGTTACATAGGGGCTATAGAATATAGGGTATATGTTGGGGTAGTAGGGATAGTGGAGAAGAAAATGGAAACTACTGTATAGTATATTGGGTTACTCCGAGAGCTGTTTGACAGCTCTGGCCGTGCTGCGATGCAGGATGCTGGCTGGAACACGGGGGAAGGCGCGAGAGCAAAGTCGTTCAGGAGTTGCTGGAAAAGTCAACAACCTCCAAGATACGAGAATCCCTCTCAAACCCCCTTCCATTTTCTTTTCCATTATCCCTAAATAACCCTTATAGACCCCCATTAAGAACCTATATCCCCAAACCCCAAACCCCAAACATCCCTATATATGTGGCCCTGTATATCCCCTATCAGATTGTTTCCTGCAGTCGGCTCCATGCTGCATTAGAAACGCTCTGGCTCTCCTACCGGCAGGTTCTCCTTTCTCGCCCTCGCCAGAGACGTCGCCGGAGTATCACCAATCGTACCCTGCATCTTGGCTGATAGGTGAGATTCTCAAAGTATTCCTAAGGTAATCGTTGATAAGGATCCCCTCAACCACCATTGTATCTCTTCATGGCCCAGGGGTTCCTCAGTTGCAGCTACTTGAAGAGGGCTAGTTAAAGAGGGCAGGTTCAACTTCGCTGCTCTCATGCTAGACTCAGGAC